TCTCACTCATGATCCTCCGGCCGTCTGGCCAGCCCAGCGGATCAGCGGATCAGCGGACCATGCGGACCAGCGGATCAGCGGATCAGCGGACCAGCGGACCAGCGGATCAGCGGATCAGCGGACCAGCGGACCAGCGGACCAGCGGATCAGCGGACCAGCGGATCAGCGGATCAGCGGATCAGCGGATCAGCGGGCCAGCGGACCAGCGGATCAGCGGATCACCGGATCAGCGGATCAGCCGATCAGCGGCCAGCGGACCAGCGGATCAGCGGATCAGCGGATCAGCGGACCAGCGGACCAGCGGACCAGCGGACCAGCGGATCAGCGGACCAGCGGATCAGCGGATCAGCGGATCAGCGGATCAGCGGACCAGCGGACCAGCGGATCAGCGGACCCAGCGGATCAGCGGACCAGCGGACCAGCGGACCAGCGGATCAGCGGACCAGCGGACCAGCGGATCAGCGGATCAGCAGACCAGCGGACCAGTGGACCAGCGGATCAGCGGTTCAGCGGAGTAGCAAATCAGTGGATCCGTGGATCAGCGGCTCGGCGGACCGAACCAAGAGATCCACGGATCAGCTCGTCCACGGATTCTGCAAAGTGCTATCTTTTTGTACTTGTCAACTACTTTCCACACACGCGCCTTTCTTCCGCTCATTGCAGGCTCATTCTCCAAGAAATTGTACCTTTGACAAGTTAGTGCATGTCATCAGCAACATCATGATTTACGTCATGTATGTCCTTCTGGCAGCCATCATCCACACTGTCTGACGTTTGGGATCTGTTGTTTGAGGAACCTTATCCTACTCTGAGCGTTGTCATTCAGAGTTGGATGTGCGGCCTGAGGTCATCATCCCTTCTTCTTCGCTGTCCGGTTTGGCAATTTCACCAAGGCGGGCAACCCTCGAGGAGGGCTACAATTCTCACCGCAACACAAATACATGTGCATGCATGCCATCAGCAACATCATGATTATATCATGTATGTCCTTCTGACAGCAATCCTCCACATTGTCTGACGTTTGGGATTTGAGGAACCTTATCCTACTCTGAGCGTTGTCATTCAATGTTGTTTGTGCGGCCTGAGGTCATCCCTTCCTCGTCGATGTCTGGTTTGGTAATTTCACCAAGGCGGGCAATCTTCCAGTGGTGCGGAGGAGGCTACAAGTCTCACCGCAATACAATGACATGCGCAAGCACGCGCAGCACTTTTGGTGCAACCATTGCAGGCTTACTTGTCAAGGGATTGTATTGGCTTCACACGGCAATGAAATGTGCTTCTAGCAGCCAGATTGTCCAAAGTTGTGAGAAAGATTTGGTGTTATACCCTACTCTGAACATTGTCATTCCCCAAGCCTGTGCGGCCTGAGGTCATCACATCCTCGTTCCCCTTTGGTCCCTTTAATTGTTCTTTGGAAATTTCACGAAGGCGGGCAATTCTGCTGCTGCTGCGCAGGGTTGCAATTTTCAGAGCAACAAGCATGTGCAGCATTTTTGATGCAATCGCTGCAGGCTTACTTTTCAAGGGACTGCGACTTCATATGGCAATGACGAATCGCGAATTCTTTTGCAAATAATATCTCATGAGTCACGAGTGTGCTTCTGCCAGCCATCTTGGACATGACCCACTCAAAACTTGTTAAGACAGTCAATCGCAAGACGCATCCTCAAAATTGTCCGTGCCAATCATGGCGGCTGGGTCGACTCATGCTGCGCTGCGGCGATCATTCGAGAAGCCGACCGGTAGATTGCCTGGCGGCGGAATTATCTCCGCTGATTGAAAATCTCGCAGCCGTGTACGGAAGAGAAACTGACCTCAAGGAGTTGCTACCTTTCCCTATACATTGCCCGGCTTGTCAGAATCCGCTTGCTGAATGCAGAAGCTCGGCAGCTGCTGCAATCATAGTCGACCTGGCTGGCATTGTGGAAAAGCAGCATGTCCCATTACGCTGCAGGCGTCCATCCTGCCCTGGCTTTGGGGTGCTGTATTGGCACAACTACAGGGTGCGTGAAGGGCGGCATGTTTTTCATGGAAAGCTACCAGGCTTCCGTTGCTTCATGCTATCTTCTGTTTTTGGCTTTAGTGTGCCGTGGCTTCAGCAGTTCCATGCTGGCCTGGTCAGGCAGCACGCGTCATTCACTAGTGAAGCGGATGTGCTCACTGCGCGGGCTGCCCGCCTACGTCTGCTCATCAGCCAAGGTTGGTTTACATGGCGCCTTCTCACAAGGGCACTGGGGGCAGATCTGAACCTGTCTGAGATGGACTTTTTGAAGCCTTTGGAAGACATGGTGGCCCTTTTCTTGCCGCAGTTGCAACACACATTTGGACAGAATATGTTGCAGGCAGCACAAGAAGCAGGCATGCGCTGCGATGTGGTGGTCCTCGATGGCAACGCCAAGAATCGGAGGGCTGTGTGTGCAGCAGCTTTGGCCGGCTCCTCTCATTCTGAGCATCTCCCGCGCACCTTGCGCCACACCTGCACCAGGACGTCGGCCTTCCGCCATGCTTTTTGCCGTTGGCATTGCGAAGGACCTATGGACGGAGAAGATCACCTTCAGGTGCAAGGGCTGGGTCATTGTCATTTGTGTTGCTTTCTTCTGGCTGAAAAAATGTGCCCTTGTCTTAGACCCCAACTTCAGGATGTGGAGATTGTGCACCACAAGGTGGTCAATGATGGGCAGCAGCTTATGGTTTTGCTGAAGAGACCATGGAGCCTCAGAGAGAGGCTTGGGTTTCGGATGCATGTGTTCCTGCAGCAGTTTTGTCGAAATATGTGCGACAAGTAGGCCAAGAAAAGCTCAAGCCTCGCAAGCGGTCACATGAGGATCAGTCGCAAAGCCTTGGCGAAGCATCTTCTCCATTGCCATCAGCTTCTCGGCCTGCGGGGACAAGCAGTCCTGCAGACCTGCAGCAGCTCTCAGACTCCACAGATCTAATGTCGGTCACCTGTTCTACGCACAAAGAAAGCACAGCTGCCCAAAAGCAGCTTAAAAAGTCTGCCGGAATGCTGTGCGCGTGTTTGTCGGACGGTGTAATCTTGCACATGCAAGAGATCGATCTATGGCTGCGAATCTCTAAGCCAGCGATACATCTGCGTTGCCACCGTCAAGGCATTGATGCCGTCCCCCTGTGTAGTCGTGCATGATGACGCTTGTCACTTGCACAAATATGCGGCCCGCAGGGCAAAGGACAGAAGGGTTGCATGTCTGTTGCTGCGGGATATATATATATATATTTGTAACTATTGGACCTGGGCAATCAATAGTATGCTCTGGAAGCAAACCTTGAAACCAAACCTTCAGCCCGAACCAGATATGTGTCGGAGTTAAATGAACTAGATTGGCCCTGCAGGATTCAGCAGCTGCCGCTGGCATAGCCCCGCCAAAGCTGACCTACGTATGTGATAAGTTTCACATGGCCGGACACACAGACGCCTGGTGCAGGAAGACTTGTGATCCGGACCTGCCGGAACATGCTTCTGTTCTGAAAGGGATTATATAGAACATCAGTGTGCGAGTTTACCTTCACTTGGCTCAGCAAGTATAAGCACCAAACAAAGCACATGAATGAATATGGCTTCAAATTCTTCCTCTTGGACATGGCGTGGAGCCACAACGAAATCATTTTGCAAGGAGGTTATCGGCCAGAGGAAGTGGCAGGATCACTTAGTGCTAAACGCGCTAGAAAAAACATTGTGGTCTGATCTTGCAAGTACCGGGCTGCATGCTGTTAAGTCTGCATCCCAGTCGTTCGATCATGTCCCTGCGCATGTGCAAATGTGCTTGTCCATCCTACTTGCTAAAAATGCTGCAGTGTTTTTCGCTCATCACGGGTGCAGAATCTTGTAGTGGTAAGTTCCACCGCCATGTCTGGAACCCATGAAGATAGACAGAACATACCGGCCATGAAGCTCATGTGGGATGAAGTAGACGCACGCTTTGATCCAAAGTATGTGCTTGGGGAAGCTGGCCATCGCTTCTGCCAAACATATTCCGTGAGAGCTGCCCATCCAGAATTTCCTTACGCCCTGCATTGTTTGTCAATGATGTGTGCTCTGGTCAATGGGGCTCGTGTTGCTGTCTTTCCCACATCCCAATCGCCTCTGACTCTTGTGGCCATCAATGTGAACTATGCCCAAACGAGAAAATCGTCCATGACAGGCCACGCAGAAACCTTGGGGCAAGCGTTGGATGCTGTCATCCTGAAGCAGTGGAATCAAGATTGGAAGAGAGCTTGCCAGAGCCGGCAGTGCAAGATGGATTGCCAGGTGGGCCTTCCGGAGGGCTTCGAAGGCCGGGCTTATATATACATTTTTCGTCGATGAGATGTTTGACCCTTGTAATGCTTTAACTTTGTGTAAAGGCACGACAAATTTAATGACAGTTTGCATGACAACTTTTTTGTGTCCTTGCCCACTTTCAGCGCAGGTATTTGCGGCCAAAAATACTATCAGCTACAGTGGCAGCTCCACGCCAGAAGAATGGTTTCATCGTTGCTCCGGAGACTGGGACCAAGTCCGGAACGCGGACAAGTTGCCAGGTGACTTCTCGGGCCGGTGTTGGTACGGCTTACTCGGCAACTTTGATGAAGCCTACGACTTCTTGCTCAGTCTTGTGCTTTTGTCAGATCCCAGCACATCTTCCAAGGACAAAGCAAAATCGAAGGTGAACCCGTACCAGAGCGCTTTCAACAAGCTGCTGCAATTCGGCTCCAGCGTCAGAGCCACGAAAACAGCAGGCAGCTAGGGTGAAAGGCCTGACAGGACAATAAGCATGGGAATCACCTGCAACATGCACCCGGCGCAGTACATTCCAATGGAAAGGGGCGAAAAAGGTTCCTCGTTGCAGTTCAATTCTGCCACACGTCTCATCAAAAGTCTTGCATTTTCTTGCTTTTCTGGCACGTCTATCGCTCCGTTGACTGCGCAGGAGCTTCGCGGCACCACTGGGTCCCCCTCACTCCTGACATTGCTGAGTTTATCGGCGTTGCCAAAGAAGCGGCATCTCCGCTCAGGAATGGCGCGAGGCCGGCTTCGCAGATGCAGGCGTCGTGCAGCTCACGCAGAATGCTGCCCGGGAGTACGTGCCATCAGAAGAGGGATATACCCAGTTAGGCTTTTGGATGGCAAGCTCAGCCGGCTCCGTTTCAAGCGTGACCAATCCGCTCCAAACGGCTTTGAGCAGCCAACCGCAACTTTGCCATTCCTGAGGAATGTTCCATTCATACAGCAGTGGCCCGACTGACGGCATACTTCTCAGGGCCGCACCAAGTCATCACTCTCACTGCGGAAGCAGAGTCGTGGCACTTGTCCTACCAGGGCGCCATGAATGTTCAGAGCCATGTCGTTCGTGAGCCTGGGGACGTGCAAGCTGGTGCTCGTTTTGGTGCAGCTCCTTGGCAAGTAGGCGTCCTGGCAGCCTTGCTCTTGGTATTCGAGATCTTTGTTGGGGCCCATTCCGTTGAAGCTCTTCAAGCAAAAGCTTTGCAGGTCACTTCTCAGCATTTGCAACGTGCCTACGCTGTTCTCCATCTCGTCCTCTAGCGGATTCAAACAATTTTTCCTGTTCATGCGGATATGTTTGCTGCTCTAATAATGCTTGCCAGCTTTGGACTTTGGCGTTGAAATTGCAGAACATGACTTTGCCACTCTTGCCTGTAAGGTTCAGAGGTTGAAGCAGATTGCACTCGGGGATGCTGCCACAAGCCCAGACAATGCCCCGCCGCTGGAACAAGAGGCTTCCTTTGATGTGGGCTCTCTACGTGTTCCATATGATGAACATGCTTTTGCACCTGCAACGCAGCCGCGGAGACCAGTCGATGAGAGTGAGGATGAGGATGATGAAGGGGACGCGGGAGAAGTTGACATGGAGCCACCCCAAGAGCCTGCTGAACACTTGGCCCAGCCGCCCCAGCCACCCCATGGATACGGAACCCGCAGCTTTAACTCTGCGAGATGTTCGTGCCAGTGATTATGGTTTTGTTGACTATGGACTTTCTGTGCAGCCGGATGGCCTCCACAGCCGCCACTTGACCGACAGGGCAATTTTGAAGCAAACGCTTCTGACAGGGAAGCCCAAGGTCACGTGCAAGGAGGCTTGTGACAAGATGCGCAGCTTCCGACACGCAGGTCGCAAGGCTTTACCCAAGGAAAAGTGGACTGCTGTGATGGCAGCTGCCGCGGGGCAACATCCAAACCTATTGCGCCTGGAAGGTGAGACATTGTGCTTGCATGCGCAGGTCATACCTGACACTTCCGATGGCAAGGTGCGGTACCACAACGATCTCATGAAAGCCTGCGGCCTCACCTTGCGGGAGCTGATCGCAGCCATGAACAAGACAACTGAGGCATCTGAGAAGTCCGAGCAAGACCGCCGTGCAAAACGTACCAGGGATGAGTGACATAGGGCAGCCGTTCCGGCAGCGCGGCATGAAGATTATAAAGGGCGAAAATGGAATTGGCGCCAAGAACACAAATGAAGCAATGTAATTTGAATTTCACTCTTCATGTCCAAAAACCCCCTGGCAAGAACGGAATTGTCCTGACCTGGCCAGGACAAAGCTCTGGAAGAGTCGGCTGCGCGCTGCTTTGACATGATCATGGCCTATAGCTAGGACTGCGCTCGTGGCCATGATGGCTTTGTGACAGCAAGTACTAGGCGCAGTGGGGCTCGCATGGCTCCCTGCGTGCCAAATCACATATCACGGTCTTTGGCCGCACAAAAGCTTCTATATAGTCTCTTACTAATAACTGATCAACAGAGCGGGCCAGCGGATCAGCGGATCAGCGGATCAGCGGACCAGCGGATCAGCGGATCAGCGGACCAGCGGATCAGCGGATCAGCGGACCCAGCGGATCAGCGGATCAGCGGATTAGCGGACCAGCGGACCAGCGGATCAGCGGATCAGCGGATCAGCGGATCAGCGGACCAGCGGACCAGCGGATCAGCGGACCAGCGGATCAGCGGATCAGCGGATCAGCGGATCAGCGGATCAGCGGACCAGCGGATCAGCGGATCAGCGGATCAGCGGACCAGCGGATCAGCGGATCAGCGATCAGCGGATCAGCGGATCAGCGGACCAGCGGACCAGCGGATCAGACAACCCCACGATCATAAGTCAAAATTCTAGCGAGGCAGCACAGTTGCCAACTGCTTCAAGTTCAGCTTTGCTGGGACTTCAACAATAGTATTATATAGTTTCGAGTCCCCGTGAGCCTCGCTTTGGCCTCGTGCCAATAGGTTTTGCGTCCGAGGCGTGGCCTCGGCCAGGCCTCGCCGAGCCTCGAAGCGCCTCGCTTGCAGGTTTTGGATTCTTTCATCAGCATATTAGAAAGGGAAAGGTTGTCATCACGAAGACAAGCAAGGAAAAGAGGCTTCTTTTGGGTTCGTTTTTAGCACCTGAAACTGATATGATTTTTGGAGACGGAGTTGGGGCCTCCCCTGTAGGTGTTGTTGCGTCAACAAACCTTGCAAATGAATAGGGTCAACTAGTTGATAGTTGAACCTATTGGTTTTGTAGTGTTGTGTTTGCGTGTTTGTTGTGGAGTTGGAAATAAAATTTAACACCGTCTTTTAGGTGTTGTTGCGTCAACCTGTTGAAATGATCAAGCCTGATTTCTGCTCACAAGTTTGACGTCTCAACTTTTCTGTGTAAGAACGGTACCCACATCTAAGAAACCAACTAAACAGAGAAACCTCTGAAATCGTTGCACTGATCATCATATATCTTGTGCTGTGGCATTTCTGAATCAAGGGTTGTGGAGTGGCGGGCATTGAAACTTGCTTTTCAATTCAAACAAGTTCTTTCTCAGCGTTACGGGGGTCAACTTTTCAACATGGCATGTTTTCAACCTTTGTTTGATCACTGGTTTTACTTGTTAGGGCTTTTTCAACACCACATGGATCTCAAGGGATTTCGCAAGCGATGGGCTGCTGGT